ATTTTTTATCCTTTACTTAAGAAACTAAAAAAAAATTTTTCTCACTTTATTTTTAATTTTTATTATTATTTTAATTTATTATTATTTTTTAACCTTTTTTCCATTTTTTATTTTTTTGGATTAGTGTTCTACATTCTATTTTTATTTTTTATCATTATTTTACTGTATCTCATTTTTTCCTTTATGCCAACACTTTCTTCCTCACTTTTTCCTTTTTCATCCTGTTTCTCTTCTATTCCTGCTTAAATTTTTCTCAATCCTTTTTTTACTTCCTGTTAAAAATTGACCTTCTTTATCTGCTTTATTGATGCATTGCTATTAAAGTTGAATGACTCATATATCTAATTTTCTCTCCCATCCTCCAAATTCATGCACACTTCTCTTTTCTCTTTCTTCACTAGCCAAATTTTTTCTTTATTTCTTGTAGTTGTTTGTTTTATTGTTTATTAGTTTGTTTTTGTTCTTATTTTATGCTTTTGTTTTTCCTCTCATCACTTATTCTCTTCTTCTAATAGTTTAATCAGTTTCAATTACCATCTCAGGTCTATATGCTCTCCATTCTCCTTTTCCAAAAATAGATGAATACATAGATATGTAGATTAAAGAGGAAATTTTTATATTTTTAATTTTATATATTTCAATTATTATATTTTTAATTATTTTTTAATCATTATTTTCTACTTTTTTAGTAGTTTGTTTTTTACTTTTATTCTTATACACTTATTCTCTTTCAACCTCCTCTATACTGAATCATGGCCATTTTCCAATTCAATTCCTTGAACTTACATTCTGGAAATAAGCTCTGCCCTTCAGTTTCCTTCTTTCTTTTCTGGGTGTTTATTGTTTGCATTTTTTGGTTTAATTGTTGGTTTTTGGATTTTTCTCCTCATATACATATATTTTCCCCCTTCTTTATTCTTTTCCTTCTTACCTTTTCTCAATATCATTTTTGTGCTCTTTTCTCTCCCCCAATTGGCTTTTCTCTGGTGGGATTATTGGTATCGTGAATATATTTGTGTTTTGTGCCCTCTTTGTTGTGTCTTATTGAGTTGTATTTTGTGCCTTAAAGTCAACACGGTAGAAAAAGAGCCACATAACCAGACATCCTGAGAAAAGTGAAAATGGGGAGACAAAGAAACAGTCCCCATACAAACAAAAAGGAAAAATCACTGGAAAAAGAAGTAATCAAAATGGAGGCAAGCAATTCATCAGAGAAAGAATTCAGAGCAATAGTCTTAAGGATCCTGAAAAGGAAGGAAGACAAATTCAACAACATGTGTAAGAACCAAGAGGAAATGAAGAACTAAGAAGAAATGAAGAATGACATAGCTGCAATAAAGAAACACAATAGAAAGCATCAACAGTAGACTAGAAAAAGCTGAGAACTGCATCAGTGAGCTAGAAGACAAGGTAGAAAAAAATACCCAAGCAGAGCAGCAACTGGAAAAAAAATCATTAAAAAACAGGAGGAGAGCCTAAGGAAGCATTGGGATAACACAAAACAAAACATCCGCATAATAGGGGTGCAAGGAGAGGAAACTGAGCAAGGAATAGAAAACGTATTTGAAGAAATAATGACAGAAAACTGATATTGGGAAGAAAAAACTCACACAAGTTCAAGAAGCTCACAGCATCCCAAACAAGATGAACATAAAAAGACCGACACCAAGATACATTATAATTAAATTGGCAAATACCAAAAGGGTGGGGCCATGAAATTCGTGCACATTAAAAGGGAATTAGAGGAAATATTTTAATATTGCTATTAGCCCTTTCTCTATAATAGAAGTGTCAGAGATGAAAGAAATTTGTAAAATGTGTATGAAAATCCCCCCCCCCCGTCAAAGTCTGAGGCATGCTGCAGGGCCCAGAGTCAAGTCTCCGCCCACCTGCACCCACCTCAAAATCACAGGAGACCCAGACTTGGCTGGACCCACCCCTGTTAACCCCCACAGGCCAGGGGGGCCCTGGAGCGAGGGCATGAGGGCTCAAGGGCAGGAGGGCAGGAGGGCACGAGGCCACAACAACCATTTGTATATTAATTCTTTATTATATAGGCTGTCCAGAATAGGAAAAATATAGAGACAAAGTAGATATTGAGAGGGCAGGGCGGGGCAAGGATGGGCTCCTGACTCCACTGTGGGGCAGGGCGGAGTTATTCTCCATTATGTGGCTGGACTCTAGCCCTCACCCAACCAATCAGGGTTAGCTGAGGCAGTGACATCACCACCAACCGGAGTAAAACCCCTGGACTGGGCAAAATTCGCTCTCTCTTACGCCATGCTGCTGGCGTGAGTGGGACAGAGCCCATACTAGTATGGAAAAAGGCTCTTTTGTTTATTGCATCGGACTCAGCTCCCTGGTGGTCCTTGGGGATCACGAAGTCTGGGCATAACAGATATGAGATTCCTTAGAGCTGAGAAGGTAAGGAAAGAGATTGGCAATAACTATTGAGTACAAGTGTACTTTTGCAGGGCAATGAAACTGTTCTAAAATTGATTGTGGTAATAGTTGCACAATTCTGTCTATATAATAAAAGCCATTTTGAATTGTACACTTTAAATGGGAGTTTTGCATGCTATATGAATCATATCTCAATATAGTTGTTTAAATTTTTTTTTGGCCCTGACCTGTTTGGCTCAGTGGGTAGAGCGTCGGCCTGCGGACTCAAGTGTCCCAGGTTCGATTCCAGTCAAGGGCATGTACCTTGGTTGCGGGCACATCCTCAGTGGGGAGTGTGCAGAGGCAGCTGATGGATGTTTCTCTCTCATCAATGTTTCTAACTCTCTATCCTCTCCCTTCCTCTCTGTATTAAAAAAATCAATAAAATATATATTTTAAAAATTTTTGTTTGTTTATTTTACCGGTATCAAAGTACCTCACCAGTCCAGTACCATAATTTACTTTAAAAGATGAGGAAACAACAGGTACAGAGAGGACTCAACTTCCAAGTCTGGCTCTTTCCACTATAGTAGTTCCCTCCTCCCCATCCATAGGGGATGTGTCCCATGACCTATAGTGGATGCCTAAAACCACAGATACTACACGCTATTTTGGGAACCCCTTTCACGTTCCGAGTGGTTCAAGGTTTGAGTTCTGGAAAAGGCCGCACATAAATGAAAAGAGACTAGAAAAGTATTAATTTGGAAATATTGGGGGCCAGGCGAGAGCCCACATCTAGGGGGAAGACTACACTCTGCTCTGGCTTTGCTATCCCTTTTATTAAGGTTAAGGGATACACTCATATCCTTTAGGCAGGAAATTCCAATAATAGCCAATCAGCAAGACTTTAGAGTAACAGGTAGAGGCTGATTTAGCTACCAACGTCTCAACTAAACAATGAGTGATAAGCTCCAACCTTTCAGAGCATTTAAGAATGACCCCGGCCTTCCAGATTTCCTGTCCACATCTCTCTATTAATGACAATGATTGGTTTTTGGCAGCTATGTATACTTCTTTTCCCCATACATACATAACTATGGTAAAGTTTCATTTATAAATGAAAGTAAGAGATTAACACCAATACTGAAACAATATACTATAATAAAAGTTATGTAAAAGTGGTGTCTCTCAAAATATTTTATTGTACTGTACTCATCTTTTCACTAAAGGAAGCAGTTTAGGGCCTTTTTTGTGTGTGTGGTAGCATCACTACTCTTGCATTTCAGGGCCACTGTTAAGTAAAATAAAGGTTACTTGACCACAAGCACTGCAATGCTGGGAGGATAGACGGCCTGGAATGGCTGGATAATGATATGACTCACATCCCAGGCTGGACAGAGACGGATGGTATGAGATTTAATCATGCCACTCAGAATGGTGCACAGTTAAAACTGCAAGTTGTTCATTTACGGTACTTTCCATTTAACACTTTCACAGTTCATCCAGGTAACTGAAACCATGGAAAGTCGGGTGGTGAAATACCTAACCTTCCCTCCTTGGGACGAAGAAGCAAGGCACAGAGTCCAGGCGACTGAAAAAAGGGGAGGGGGTAGGTTTTAATATTGCGCTCCCGGGCGAAGCTCGCTGGTCCGAGGGTGGGCCAGGGACGTCGACGCCAAAAAGCGGCTTAGGTACTTCTCTTACACAGCTGTTTAGTGAGGGGAGGGGGGAGGGCATGAGAGGTGTGGGATTCCTGCCTGGGCCAGGGGTCTAGGAAGGTGCCAGCTATCTTTGTCACCATTTACCTTGCAGATGCTTGCATCGGCTATGGGCTTCCCCCCTGCCTCGACCTAACAATTACTAGAGTTGTAGGTGCCTCTAGTGCTTAAAATCCTAGTTTATTAACTTCTTCGTAGATTGTCTGACGTCAGCGCATCAGGATCCAGTAGAATGCTTTGGCATTTAATAGGTGCTTACATGGACGTTTATTTAACAAAGAGAGATCTACAAGTAAAGCTAAATAAATGCAAAATAAAGAACCCAGTACATGGATACCCGCCCAAAAAGAAGACACAAAAATAGAAACGAATAAAGCAGGAAAAAAAAGAAATGGAAGACGCATAAACAGTGGATATCTCCCCGCACCCCGACTCCCCCCCGCCCCTCCTTCCTCTGCTTAGGACGATTTCCCTGTATCCAGAAAAGAGTCAGGCTGTTACCCGGCGGCATCATAGCCAGAGGCTTCCTTTCCCGCCTCGCAGAGATAGAGGAGAGGGTGGGGCCCCACAGAAGACGGCGCCTACGTCATATCCGGTTCGAGTGGCGCCTTTGCGGGGAAGGAACCAGAGCGCCGAGGGGCGGGGCCAACAAAGCGCGCGTTTTGAGAGGGGGCGGGGCCTGGCTAAAGACGCTGCGTCACATCCGCGAGACTCAGAGCCCGTGTGGCAGTGGCGCGGAGCGGTCGGGTTCCCGGCGGCGTGGGAACTTGCGGGCGCTGACAGGCCGCGGCCGAACCTCTGTCAAGAAGGCGCAAGAGGTCGGCAGCTTCGGTTGAAGCACATCGAGCCGAGCGGCGGCGGCGGAGGCAGCGGCAGCGGTAGCAGCAGCAGCAGCGAGTCATGAGCGACAGCGGCGAGCAGAACTACGGCGAGCGGGTACGTAGAGGTGCAACAGGGGGGGAGGGGACGGGCGGCTGTGTGGTCCCAGCTTCTTGCATCTCTTTCCAGGCCCGCCGGCCTCGGACAGGGAGGTGGGGCGATTTCGGCTCCGAAGTCAGGCCGGGAGGAGAGGAGTCGGATTGAAAAGGCGTTTGTGAATAAGTGTTTTTATTCGTGAAGAAGGCCAGAGAGGCAGGTTTACGTGGCCCCGGACCCGAGTCGGCGGTTTTTTTCTGTTACAAGGGGGGATTAAGATGGCCGCTGCGTCCCCTCGGTGTTGGGGGAGGGGTGCGGGATCTTATTTCGCCGTTGCTCTCCGGCGAGGCCTTGCCGCCGCCATCTTGGGCTGGCGGGCCGGGCGCGCTGCCAGAGGCACAAAATGGCGGCAGAGCCACGGCTCCACGCGGGCCGGCCCCAGGCCTCACAGGCCTACGTGGGTTAGAAAAAGAAAAGAAAGCACGTTCTTTGGGGACTTTCACCCGGTGTTTGGATTAACAAAGGGTCGTCTGATGAAGCAACCCCCTCCTCTCCCGAGGGTGGAACCTTGTTTGTTCTCGGGGCTTCTTTTAGGAGGGGGAGAACCCAGCTGAGGCCAACGCGGCTCTCGGCCCGTTAATTGAGGAGATTGCGCGCGGGCTTTGTGGTAGGCCTGAATGGAGCGCTTTTATTTGATACCGAAAGGGTTTTTTAAACCAAAACCCGTTATCAGAGTATACCAATAGAAGAGACCACGAGATCTCTTAACGTTTTCTTATTTTTATGGAGTAGGTATTTTTCCATGGGGTTGTATACGACAAATTGGCGGGCAACGACGATTTACGGCGCCGTTACTTCCTTTGTTTCGAGACATTCTAATTTCTGTGGACCACTTGTACATGTTCTTTTTGTTTTTGTTTTTTAAAGTCTCCGCCTCCCAGGTGGAGTTTGGTGCGGGTTGATTAGGTTTAGGAATAAAACAGTTCCCAGGTTTTAGACTGCACGTTATAAAGGGTGGCAGGGTGTAGGCTCTAATGACAATGCAAAGCTTGCCCCAGAGTCTTGCATGTTTGGAGATTAAGGAGAATTTGTTAGAAGAGAGGTAAAAAGCACCATAGAACTTGATTTTTTAACTTGATAGAAATAAGATAGGTGATTTTAACAGTCCCCCTTTCCTAGTAGAGCCACCTCAAAATAAGTCTTAATTCTCAGGTAAATCCCAGATATCTTAGCTAACGCGTGTAAAAACAGATTCGAGTGGTTTAAAAATATCTTAGCTCCTGGCGCTTTACTGAACTTACTGTGTAACATTGGAGCAAAATCTGTTTGATTTGGTTTGAATCAGTCAGGTCTCCCTTATATATATTTAGGTGAATGTTTCATAGGGTGAGTTTGAATTGGGCTCACAAATTGTGAAGATTGTGACTTCTAGTTTCTACTAGTTGAATATACTTTGGAAACCAGTCATTGATATTTCGACTGGAAGGCAAATGATAATTTTTAGTAGTCAGTGTTAAAACAATTACTGGGTACTTTTGCATTGTTTAGGGACAATATGACAGGTCTCTGACTAGCTTAGTTGAATATTCCTGGAAGAGTTACTCGGATCGTGAGCTTGAGGGGATGAAAATTTGCCTAAAAGAAAATAAGTATGTTTTACTCAAGAGAAACAGTTGTGGTTAGGTCCAGGTTTGAGACAGCTGAAGAGGTGTCATCAACTAGAATTTTTTTGAACCGGGCATATTTTCTTCTGTACATCCTAGTGTTTTCCATAATGCTATTACATAGAATAGGTATTCACTAAGTTATTATGAAAAGAGAAAGATATAAAATAACTAAGTTGCATATTAGAAGAAAAAAATTTCTTACTCAGGAGTCATGACTTTTCCTGGAAGACATTTCTAAACTTGAAGTTGTGGGATACTTCCATTTTATTTGATTTGGTGTTTTGTATGTTTGCTTTTCAATTGGTGGTTTGAACCTGAGGTTGTTAGAATAGACCTAAAACATGTGTTTGGACTCCAACGAGTGTTTGGCAAACCATAAAGGTCAGTGGGACAGTTAAATTACCATAAAAAGGGCTGGGGGAGGGGGTAGAACAGTCAGGTCTGATGAGCAAAAAAGTTGCTTTCAGGGCAGTAATCTTGCACATGCCTGTATCTTCTTTGTGGAGCCTGAAATATTACTTTTCATTTCACTCTAGGCTCTCAAACATTCCAAACTGACCAAGTAAATAAAATCGCTCATAAAATCTTAATTTCGCTGTAATCTCACCCTTCCTTTATATAATCTAATACACTCACAAATCTCAAAGTAATACCAGAATTTTTTTGCCCCTAATTCTTTAGACATTGGAAGTTCCTCTTCTAAATAGAAATGTGTGTATATGCAGTAATAAAGTATCCTCTTAAAACTGATTTAGTATGCCTTCCCTTGTCTTGTTTTAAATGTGTATGTTGGGTGTGTTCTTGAATATTTGTGGTTCATGTCACATTTTTATGGCAGAATTTACCTTTTTACCTTGGCATTTTTGTGTTAAAGTTGATTACAAGAAATGTGTCTCTAGAGTTGAGGTCCCTTATCTGGCCAAACCTATGCAAAAGTAAATAAAAAATTTTTATGGTCTCCAAATTAAAGCATCCTCCAGAATTTCCAAAACTTGCCTGCAAACTATTTTTATTTTATTTTTTTCTACAAATGGGCTGACATCTTTGCTATAAGAGTCACTCTTAACAGTTGTCACATTTGGTAGAATATTGGCTGTTTTTATAGACATATTTGCAATATAGGTACTTTATCTTCAATCTTAACTTTCCTTAGACATGAATAGTGTCTGGATACCATCACATCAAGCTGCCCTTCAGATTCTGTATTGTTTTCTGTCTTTTAGCCCCAAATTCTAACTTTTTTAATTAAAACATCTCAATCTAATTCTTTTCTAGAAAATTGTAGCCATTGCACCAACTTCCTTTAATTAAGGATTGAAATTATAGTTTGTTTCATAGTGAGTGATTAGATATAAGTCTCTTGAAGAAACCAGGTTAGCTAAGAATATTTTAATAAAGTAGATAGTGTCTGAAACTAGGAAGTGACATTGTGAAACTGAAATTCCAAGTGATAAGGTAAGTAATACTGGTTTGGGGGGGGGGGTGGATAAGAATTTTGATGGTGAGAGATACATGGAATCCCACTTGTACATCCAATTCCCATTTATGGCTGCTAAAACCCCAAACCTAAGTGATTAATATTTTTATAGTTGACATTTTTGCCAAGAGTACGGAACTACCATTGTCTATATCTTTTGCACCTTAGCACTGTGTCATTTGTTGATCTGTTTCTATACATAAGTTGTGTTATCTCACATTGTATAGTGATGGGATGGTGTTTAGGAAATTTAAGTGTTTTACCAAGGTTAGTTTGGGGTGGTATGACCCACGTCAAATTAGGTATTTTATTGTCAGTTTTGATTTCCAGCTGCAAGCCAGAAAAGTTCTTCACTACAGCAAATTAGTCTTCAAGTTACCCCAAACCTTTACTTTGAATTGGGTTTGGGGAGTTATTTTCAGATAGTTACTTTGAGGTCTGTTTTTTGCATTGGTTTTTGTGCTTAGGTATTAGATAAAGAATAGGTAGTCTTCTGAAAGTCAAAAACATACTTAAACTTGCTTTTGCTGGAAAGTATTGAATGTTTTATGAATGTAAATTTTAGAGTTCAGTTATTGCAAGAGATCTCAAAAGCATGGGCTGAAAAGGAGGTATGTCAGATAGTGGGGGGGTTTTGTTTGTTTTGTGTGTGGTTTTTTTTTTTGTTGTTTTTTTCTTCCAGAGTATATTTTCTCTGTTTGAATGTTTTTCTATCTACCCAATCTTCTGGTAGAGTGGCTGCAAAAAAAAAAAAAAATTAAATAGTCCTTATAGTGATACAAGAAATGACCATAATGGCAAGATTGATTTGCTCCCTCCCAATTTTTAAAATATTAACCTTGGAACCAGCCTAATGAGTTTGCACGTTTTTAATGTTACATGAATTCCACTTCTGTAACCTCTAGAATCGTTTTAATGGGAAAATTGTTGACAAGATGGGACAAGTTTCTGCTCATTTCTAAGTAGGCTCTCTTCACCAAGTAATTAGCTCAATAATTGGCTTATGGTTTTATAAAGTAGCCACTTGGTAGCTAAGTTGAAATAAACCTCTTATTTACATTATTTAGTTGAAATACAAAAAAGAAAAGGTTGGGAAGGAGTAATAGCAGGAAGGTGTCCATATTTAAAAGTTGTGATATCTAGAGCTTTGGCCTCCATTCCTGTACCTTCTGCATCCAAGTCCTGTGTCTGTACATACTCTTTAGAGGAGCCCTAGGAGGAAACCTGCTTGGGCATTCTGATTCCACGATTACATTTGTGCTGCTAGCAAACAGTTCCCATTACATTTTAGTGATGGATACTAAAAAAAAAAAAAAACTAATTACTGTGACTCCCTTAAATAAAAACCTATTTTAAAATTTTCCTGGGTTAAGTAAACAATAATTGACTTTTAAAAACGATATTGAAATTAGGCTTACTTAGAAAAGACAGCACTTCCACAAATAACCATGGCGGTCTTTATGCCCAGATAGATATAAAGACTTTTTTTTTTTTTTTAAAGAAAGTTTTATTTTTCCCAGAAAGAAAATAAAATTAGGAGAGGAAATTATTGACAGTGAACAGAGACATAAGATGAAATGCAGGAAAACTAGGGTGTTTTATGAGGACAGTATTTTGTTTAAGGTGTTGAACAGGCACTAGTTAATATATTGATGTTAAATATTTTTAGTAACTTGAAGAGGTGAGCTATACTTTTCCCCATATTGCCACCTTTAAAAAAGTAAAAATTCTCCTTTGAACTGCAGAAGATTTTGATATTTGTTCATTGAGGGGGGTAGTTTACAACAGTTTGAAAATACCATTGTTGCACTCTAATTTGTTCTGCTTTCCTTCATAGCTACTTGAATGTAGTAGTTGGCTGACGTGGTTTTAGTTCT